AGAAATGACAGTGCTTTTAGGGCACTCAACCAATGCAAAATTCGAGCCACCATATTTCTCAAAAAGTGAAAGTCCCACAATCCAAGTATTATTGTAAAATGAGATCTTACTGTTGCAAATAACATGGAAATTAAGACATTGTCTGACCCTTATAAAAGAAAGCAAGTGACTCTTACAAGGAACCTAGTGTTGATTATTCTTGTCATGAAATATGGAACCATAAAGATTGAGACACTTCTCAGAGAGGATACTATCAACTGTATATTCTCCAAATGAGCTTAGTCTTGCACATAATATTAAGGGTGGTAAGATTAGGGGGTCCAGACCACCATAATGTTTGGATTTAGTAGTATTGTGCCAAGCAATCGTATGAAGTTTGCTAGTAGAATCACCAGAAAGGAAGAAATTATTAATAATGGAAGAAATACTTTTCATTAGGCCTTTAGGGATGGAGGTGAATCTAAACCAATACTCCAAATGGGTCTAAATGGAGTATCTAACTAGCTGAAGCCTACTGGCAAAAAAGGAGCTTTTGTATCCAGCCACTCAAGAGGTGTTGAATCCTCTCAAAAATGATATGGCAGTTGTAGGATGTTATTATGGAAATAATGGATAGTAATGCTCAAGTATTTCTAAGGTAGAGGCACCATTTAAAACCCAATCAGCTCACATAATTACTGTCACCCCTGATCAAAGACAAAGTTTGTCACTATCCGGCCCGGGGCTTGGAATTAACCAAGGCGGGTCCATATAGTCGGATGGTGGGAGTTAATATTAACAAATAAAAGAGCTACTAATAAAATTAATTTAAAGCAATATATTTAAAGTTAACTTGTTACTAGTTGTTTGAATCTTCTATAAACGTCTAACGCTTGATCGCTCAATTAACCTGAAAAGTTAGTTTAAAATTTTAATGAGCAAAATAAACCAGTGAATACTCATACTTCTAAACTACAACAATATAAGAAAAAAGAATAATATGCATGTCTGTTAAGTTTTTTATATAGATCAATATAATTTTATATCTATACAACCGTCACAGGAGCACCGTCTAAAAATTTATACCACTTATGATATTTCAATATTAATATCTTTTTTTATTTACGTGCACGATTACCTTAGTATTCCCTATAGTCAAGCATGCACATAAAAACATTCAATAAAAATATTATTTTTTAATAAAAAAATATTCATTTGTCTTTTGCATAGTAGTTAAATCATTTAGTAATGACGTGCACACATACCATTATTTCAATATGAACAAAAGTTCACTAGAAGTCAAATCATGAGTGTGCAGTCATTTACCAGACAACTAATGAAAGTACTTATTAATGCATTCGGTCTAGAAGAAGCAAAATACCAACATAGTAGAAGAACATAAGTGCTCACCTTGATGTAGATTAATTTTTTATTTGATTTGCCTTGACGTCTACTATTTTAAATTTGAATGCTTAAAATAAACATGGTATTCATAATAAATTTTAATTTACTTGTTATCTTATTACAAACAAGTTTTTATTATCACATTTTTATTTTTCTAATGAATAATATATATATATATATATATATATATATATATTACTAATATTTTATTATTATTATTATTATTATTATTATCACCTTTATGTGTCCATAAGCACGATGGGGCTAGGCCCCTCAGTAGCTTGAGAAATTAGAGGCAGTGTTGTAATCGAGCCGAGCTGAGTCGATTCGAGTATGCCATGGTTTAGATTTGGCTTTGAGACGAGCTTCCAAAATATATTTATACTTGGCTTGCTTAAACTTTTTAATGTTCATATTGGATTTGTACTTGGCTTATTTATATTAATTAAAAAGTTAAAATTCAAATGAGTACTTAATTTTTATATAAAATTAAATATTTGATTTGTACTTGATTTTTTTATATAAAACTAATAAACAAGTTAAAATTTTAAATCATTATTTGTTTTTTCATATAAATTATTAAAAAATGATCTTATAATTCTAAATAAATAAACAATTGAATAGATTTCAAATTAGTATCTAACTACTTAATACCGAAAAAATAAAATAATATATTAGTTATAATTTGTTTTCAATCAAATAACAAAACTAAGTACTAACAAATTAGTTCATTGAAATAAAAAATAATAAAATTATATTAAATTATAATATATTACTATTAAATATATTTTTAAATTAAGTATATTGGTTCATTTACAAACCTAACCGGAGGCGATAAGTAGAAATTTGGGTTTTTGAAAGGGGAGAAGTGGGAGAAAAGGCAGCGACGGCAGAAGCCCAAACCCTTGCTGAGCATTCACACATAAAAACCTTTGGCGTTATTCCTTAAGCGCATGCTTATCTATGTGCTTGCAAGTGTGCCCTTTGGTTATTGACACATTTTTCGAGGATAAGCACACTATTTAAAGCATTTACATGGTCTATGAGGTGCTGAAAGGGCTTGTCATTTCTGTAGGGGATTTAAAATTATCCAAATTCAATTGTTCATGTGAATTTTTTGTCAATAACAATGCACATAATGTTTTATTTTGAGCTTTTAATATTTGCATTCTATTCACTTGTATGTCTTTGGTTGCGGATCTGATTTCTATATATTTTGAGCAAGAATCTTCATTATTTTTTCTTTACGAAGAAGTGTGTTTTATCCTCGCATAATTTGTATTTTGCTTGGGTGGACCCAATAAAGTATTTCTATCAGGCATAAATAAGGCATACATTTGAACTAGCTCAAATAAATCATATAAATTGATGGCATAATTTTTTTTATGCTGGTTTTGTTTTTAATCCTTCTTTTATTGTTGCTTGTTAGAAGATCTAAAAAGTTTGAAGTTATCAGATGTCACTTTCTAGTGTTTGGTATTTCGAAATAATTTTTTTTCTCTATAAGAGACCTTGAAGCTCTTATGCAAATGTAAAATAAAATATCTTACAGGCTATTTGGTTGGTAGTAAAAGGAGTGTGCTGCATTTCTTTTGCAGAAGTTTTGAAAATTCCGGTGTTTGGTCAAAAAAAAAAAGTGTAAATTATAATTTATTTGGAATTCATTCTCTAATTCAATTTCAATGCATTTGGAATTCGCTGGATTTGGGCAAATTTAAATACATTGCTTTGTGTAAAATGTTGCTCCCCACATCTGCTTCTGCTCATACCACTAATCCCGCCAACTGCCTGCCCATCAACCATTGTTGTGTTAAGTATGGAGCCCGGTCCGCCCAACCTGACTCCCGCTCCCGCTATGTCGCGACCACGATTCCGCTCCCACCCCTTGTTTCGCGAAGCTTCTCGCCCAATTGTCGCTCCTCCCTGCTCGATCGCGAAACCGCTCCCGCCTCCGCCTGCTCCCGCGCGCGAGAAGCGAAGCTTCGCTTCGTCCGACATCTTCGGGTTCCTTCTCGCAATAAAAGGCTTCGGATAGCTCTCCCTGAGTTTTGAATTCACGATTTTGGTGTTCTTCTCCGGGCTTCTTCGGGATAGAGGAAGTAAAGTGCAAGAAGTAGTTCCTTGTGGTGAAGGAAGAAGAAGAAGATTGTTCTCTATCGACTTTTTCTTAGTGGCTTGTGACAGAAGAAAAATTAGATTTATTTCTCTTGTAAGTTTATCTTCTTCGATGTATCTCGGTGTAGAGTTTTTTCGGTGTATCTCGGCGTAGAGAGAGAAGAATAAAGAGAGAAGAAGAGAGAGCAACGAAGTGAGAGATTCCTCTTGTAAGTCGAGACGATCGACTGGTGTAAATTTCTCAAGTATTAAAATCCTGTGCAACTCCGTGGACGTAGACAATTTGCCGAACCACGTAAATTTGTGTGTTCCGCTGTGTTACTGTTTTCTGGTGTGAATTTTCTCGTTCTATTTTTCTCTTCGTCGATCTTTCTCCTGTTTGATTTATATATATACCACATCAATTGGTATATATCTTATCCCAACATGTTGCTCATGTTGCCCACTAGCCCTCCAATTGTGTGTCATCTCCCACTGCCTGGCCCTCCAATTGTGTGTCATCTCCCACTGCTCGCCGACCTTCGATGCCAACTACTTTTTGAAGCCCTCTGTCAGCTCCCACTCATTAACGGTTGCTGTGGCTGTGGCCCTTCTGAGAAGATTGTGCAGCATATTGATGATTTCGGTCTTGGAAAAAGAATTTGCAAAATTTCAGCATGATGATTGCACGATTTTGTTAAGCAATTGTGCATTTCTCAAAGTCGGGCAAATTTTAGTTTATATTGTTTTTCAATTAAGTGAAAATTTCATGGACTATATGTTCAGGAATTCAGCACGTTGGTTAAGCACTTGTGAGCATTATGAGTTTTGATTTTGTAAGAAAGATTATGATTATTTCCAAATGATTGCACACTTTTTGAAATTAGTTTTTGTAAGTTTAAAAATTTCATGAAAGATGTATGCAGTACTTGGATGTTGTAACAATTTTAGTGCCTGGCTTATTTGAATGTGTGAGAGAGCTTGATGGTCAATGCACTTTTGGTGGAACTGCAAACTTATTGATGGTCAATGCATACTTGGTGATTGACATATTTGCAAAGATGAGCACACTTTTCAAAGCATTTGTATGCTTACGAGGTGTTGTGCTCGAGTAGAAAGCGCATTGTCAATAACAATGCACATAATGTTTTGTTTTGAGCTTTTAATTTCTGCATTCCATTCGCTTGTATGACTTTGGTTTCGGATCTGATTTTGATATCATTATATATGTATATATTTTAATGATGAAGTGTGTTTTATCCTTACATAATTTGTATTTTATTGGCTGGACCCAACAGAGTATTTCTTTTTTGCTTATACATGGCATAAACTTGAACTAGCTCAAAGAAATCATATAAATCTCTGGCATAAATTTTTGTTCACTCTAGTTTTGTTGTTAATCCTTTCTTTTATTGTTTCTTGATCAAAAGTCTTTAAAGTTAAACTATCTTTAACAAACAGAAGTCTTCTCTCCGCACTCTTTTTTTTTTGTTTGATGAAGGACATGAGATCAAAATCTACAGGAACTGAACTTTGCAGAGGAGCAGATCCAATCTTCAGATGCTCTAACTGAGATGAGTCAGGGACAGTGGGAAGGCTGTCTTCGCTCTGACATCTACACTCCAGAAATGATCAGCTTGATTGATAAAACCCAGCCCGATTTCTCGCCGCCTCTCGGTGAATCACTGAGACAGGTGGAGTTTAGAATGATAGAATTTATCAGCAAAACTGTTCTCAGAATTCCTGACAATCTTTTCAGCGGGAACCCTCAACTGAGTCATAACGACACCAAAGAATTGTCGCGCCACGGCTCAGCAAACTCATTGCAAGATCGAAATGAACCTCAATGGGATCTTCTCCACCGACTCAATCGAACCGGAACTCAGAGGAAGAAATCCGGTAAGAGCCGGCTTCAGTTCATGACAACAGGGGACAACGAGAATGAAGAAGAATTTACCGCTGGAGAGACTAGTCATAGTTCCTTTACGAACGAAGCAAATTCTGGTCGAAATTCTTTCGCCTCTATTGGAATTTTCACTCATGCAACCCCGATCAGATGCCTTGTAACTTGTATTCTTGGTTGTAATCCCGCCATGTCAATGAAGATCTGCATTGATGATTCTTCTGTTACAGTGCTTCAACACACCCTCAGAAAAGGATGGCAGGTAAAGAGATTAAACGACACTTCGCATGTCCGCCTGCTTTAACAGGTGAGCCATATCTTGTCAATTCACTCATGGCTTTGCTCCAGAATTCCAAAAACTGGTTCAGATCGATTGCTCTGCGGATCACAAGTTAGTGATTACATAATCTGTCTTTCTTTCATTGCAGTGTGATGTGAAACATTGAGAGTTCTGAATAGTTTGTCATTCTTTTTAGGCAAATCAGCATTATATTGTAGATGTTGTCTGTAACTTAACACATTACTTTCATACATATTTACAGTTAATCATGGAAATATGATAGTAAATTGGGTGTAAATTATTTGATTTATTTGCAAAACTCTATTTTTTTTAGCTTTAATGGCTGTAAAGAAGTGGAAAGCGAATTTTAAATCATTAGATATTGTAAAAGAATATGAGTAATAGATGAATGAGGACTAACTTGTGATGAATCTTTTCCCAGATTGAACTTCAGGACTTTAAAGCTTTTCAGCTATTGATTCTTCTACATGGGATGCTGAGTTTGGCCTCCACAATTCAACAATGGCTTCGGTCTTCTACTTTCTTCTTCGGCCAATTTCTTCAGGTACTCGCTGTGATCCATTATTCGTTATTGCTTTAACGGATCGGTTCGGGACGGACCTGAATTCCCGACTCGAATTTGCATGATTTGAGCTGACTCGTTTAATAAACGAGTCGAAAAGCTGATTGGCATGAACCTGGCCTGAATAACCCATTTAACATATTTATAAATAAGTATAATTGAAAATTAATATAAATATGATGCATAAATGCAACCATAAGAAATACCCGATCAAATGGTAAATGTGAAATTTGATATAAAAAATTATATAGGTTGGCCGGTTAATTGGAACATCAACTCAAAATTAAACAGGTTAGTATTTCAACTTGAACTCGACTGGAAAGTTAATCGAGTCAACTTGAATCAAATCCAAAAGTTTTGGGTTGGATCCGTTTGGGATTGTCATGTAGTGTCATTTATTGATGTCTCTATTGTTGTTTCCAGGCTAAGCTATTAACGACCCAACTTCGAGCCGAGCTGGAGCGGCTTAAAATCGGCTGGAAAAAAAATTGATCCAAAGTTTTGGCTCGTAGTTTGGCTCATTTATTTCGATCCAAGCCAAAATTCGAATCAATTTTCGAGCGATTAACTATCTTCAAGCTAAATTCACTATATTAACAGCCCGAACATCCTAGGATTGTTATCAAGCCGACCTGGGTTGGCTTGAAATTGGTTCAAAAAAATTTTGATCCAAAATTTTGGCTCATAGCGCAGCGCAGCTTGTTTATTTCGATCTAATCTCAATCCGAGCCAAACATTGAATCAATCTTCAAGCGAGCAGCAATCTTAACTTAAACTCGACTGAAAAGTTCATTTTGTCAACTCGAATCAAATTCATTTTTTTTTGGGGTTGGATTTGTTTGGGATTGTCATGCAATGTCATTTGCTCTTTAAATTGAGAAAAAAGTGATTAACTGAGAGAGGGGAGTTCTTCTTGTGTTCAATGAAGTTGGTGTGTTAGGTGAGAGATTATAAAATTTCTTTATGATTGAAAACTTTGAAAATAAACGTTAAAATATGATTTAAAGGAATGGAAAAACATGTGTTAGAAGGTTGAATTTCTAGAACATTCCTAATTAATTTTCTAAAAAAAATTAAGTTGGAATTTATATGAAGAAAATAATTTATTAAATATGGAGTTAATAAGCATAATAAAAATATTATTTAGAGAATTATTAAAATGAAGTGTTCAAAGGAAGAAATTGATGTTCACTATTTGTACAATTAATAATTTTCTATTTTTATTTTTTTTAAATGCTTACATAAATATAAAATTTGGGAAAATTTACGGTCAACACAAATCTTCGTGGCTCTTTATATTCAATTTTACTTTGTATTATATAAATAATTTTTTAAATAAAAAAATATTACGAGCCAATCCACATGTAGCGCGAAGTTTTTTTAAAATGCTTACATAAATATAAAATTTAGGAAAATTTAGTCAACACTAATCTTCGTGGCTCATTTTATTCAATTTTACTTTGCATTATATAAATAATTGTTTAAATAAAAAATATTACGAGCCAATCCACATGTAGCTCGAAATCAGTCTGAAAAAACTCGATCTAAAGTTTCGGCTCGTTTAGTTTGATCCGATCTCGATCTGAGCGAAAATTTAAATTGATTTTAGCTTTGTCATTTAAGAACTAGCTTATAACTAGGCTTGGATTGGTGTACAGTGGTGCATAAAATGTTATAGGTAAATGATAAAACTACATAGCAAGATTTAATGAATATTTGTAGGTAAATGATTGTGCTTCACTTATGTTTGTCAAATTCTGGTGAGTAGCTTTGAAAATCAGGGCAATTTTATTTGGCACGTTGGGCAAATATTTATGATGAGTTTGGTGGATCTCTAGACAGAGTGAATATGACTGATAGAATAATTATGGTGATCTGGGGGTGATGGTAATGTTCTGGTGATGGCAAACTGATGGTGGTAGAGGCACGATGTTGGCCGGGTATTGGTGATAGCCGGGAGATGATAGTTTGAAGTTGGCGGCATATGCCCAAAGAAGGCGATCTGGCATGGCAACGATGGCTTGGCGTTAGGGGGTCTAGCATAATGATAATGGCTCGACATCGGTCGGGTGATGATGGTTCTACGAAAGTGGTCTGATGATGTTGGCATGATGATGATAGAATTTACCTGATGATGATGGAGGTGATGGCTTGGCACAGGTAATGTTTGGGTTGTGGTGGCCCAATAGCGATGACGATGGTGGTGGCCTGACAGTGGTGGTCTAGCAATGGCGATAAGTAGACATGGGTGGTCCGACGACGGCGACACTGTTGGAAAACGATGGTCTGACGATGGCAATTACTCGATGACACTGCTGGAGGTCGGGAACCCTCAAGAGCTTTGATCTTGTTGGTTGGAAAACGATGGTCTGACAATGGCGATTACTCGATGACGCTGCTGGAGGTCGGGAACCCTCAAGAGCTTTGATCTCCCTTCAGTCTTCCCTTCCAAGTTTAAGCCCCCATCATGAAAAGAGTGAGACTATTTATAAATTTTGTGAATGACATCCTTCATAAATAGGCCAGAATCCATACTTGGAATAGCAGACTGAAGAATTAAAATTTATTCAAATCTTTTTTTCTGGGCGTAATTAAATGTCTACTATCAACTTCAAGCTTTTTTTGGAGAATTGATCGACAAGTTAAATCTTGGGGATGAAAAATACTTAAGCTTATTTATATCCCTAATTGGAAAGGTGTCTTTCAAAGTTAGCTACATTGATATTTTTTATGATATATTAAAATTTTGTGTGTTATTTATATAAATATGAAAGTTTAGGTGTATATATGTGAATATATAGGAATGGAGTGGTATGTAAATAGGAATTGTTGCATAAAAGCTTATATGTAAATAATACAAATAAAATTACATTGCAACATATAACAAATATTTGTTCTAATATGATTGGACTTCACTAGTTTATAATTATTTAATTGCATAGAAAAACATACTAATTTTTTAATGGATAAATTAATTTACACTTTATTTTTGTCAAGTGTTGGTGAGTAGCTTTGAAAATTAGAGGAAGCTTATTTGGCTGGTTGGACACATAGCTATGTTGAGTTTCATGGGTCTCTAGATGGAGTAATTATGGTGACTTACAAGAATTGATTTCCTTAAGAGCATTTGCATACATACCCATCCAATTCCTATGTATTTACATATCTAACCCCAAAACTTTTACTTTTTTTACATTTATACAATGCAAGTATTTCATATAACATAAGAAATCACTCTTTTAACTTCGAAAAAATATTACATCAGTACTACGCACGTAAAAATAACGTGTGTGGTCAATCAAATCACGCCACGACATCTCGTGTGACAGAGCAAAAAAAAACGGTGTAGTAACACGGGGAATATTCCCCCCTGCGTTATTCATGTGTTATTGCGCGTTAATCATGTGTTATTGTGTGTTAATCATGTGTTATTGATGTGTTATTGTGTTATTATAACACCAAGAATATTCTCAGGACACAATAACACATGAATAACACACAATAACACTTGAATAACACGGGAAATATTCCCGACAGAGAAAAAAACGGCGCAGTAACACGGGGAATATTCTTCCCCGTGTTATTCATGTGTTATTGTGTGTTATTCATGTGTTATTGTATCCTGAGAATATTCTTGGTGTTATAATAACA